ATCCACAGATCATTCACAGAGACCTCAAACCCGACAATATATTAATTTCTAAAAATGTAAGGAACGGTAGATTTATTAAGTTATGTGACTTCGGTGTGGCTAAAGTTCACGACAAACGCATTCATAACAGGATTACAAAAACACATACGGCAAATGTGTTTGCACACAATATAAGGAACGACGGATTTATGAAGTTATGTGACTTCGGTTTGGCTAAAGTTCGCGACAAACGCATTCATAGCAGGATTACAAAAAAACATACGGCAGATGTGATTGCATACAATATAAGGAACCACGGATTTATAAAGTTATGTGACTTTGGTTTGACTAAAGTCATCGAGACCACAACTGACAAAAAACCTACTCAATATGTTGGTCGCCCCATATATAAAGCCCCAGAAAATTATCAGGGTGTAAATAGTGTCACTAAATCGGATATTTATAGTTTGGCAATAATTGGAAGCAAATTATTTGAGGTGGATGTGCTAGATATTAAGGGACTGGGCGGTACCTCCAGTACCTCCCAGTCCCTTAATATTAACCAAAACAGGTACAGTATTTAATCAACAGTGTACAGTAATAACATCTCTTTTGAAGACACATTTTAATCCAAATAATTTTAGTCAGTGAATCACACTTTGTTATGATTCACAATTTTAAAAATAAATATTAATTAATATTATATAAATAAATGTTAATAATTAAATAGAGTACGGTAGTATACACTTACTAAAATTATGGGCATTAAAATTTATGTGTTAATAAATGAGCTTTTCTACTGTACTATGTAATTGTTATTAATTGGTATATTAAATTTTATATTAAAGTTTTTAATTATATATTAGCCCACTAGCATACACATCAAATGAACTTCTAATGTTACCAATGTCAAATTTATATGAAATATTATCGAAAATGACTGCACCCAATTGGCATAAAAGGCCAGAATGTAGTGAAGTGTTGGCTAAATATAACCAATGGTCTATTAATAAAAATTTAGTGGAAAATGATCCAGGATACGCGTTAACACTAAATAAACTTCATTCTAGTAATAATAATGTTTATTCTTTCTTAATAGCAGTTATGAGCTAAGAATTTATAAAATATGTATAATGTTTTGAATAAAAGTATCAAACATACTGTGATAATGTGTCCATGTTGATTTAATTATAATGTTTAATATTTCAATAAACATTTTATTTGTAATTGATTTGAGATTGATTTCTCCCGTTTAAAAAAGTTACGTAAGGCCAGAGCACCGGGTGGTGTTGACATTTAAGTTTAATTTAAAGTTGTGATTTAATAAAACGGGATTATATATATACTTGTTGAATAATAAACTCTTTTCAATGTGTTTGTGAATATATAAAGTAATTAGTGATTAATTTGAGTGTAATAATTTATTAAAGATTGACACTTTTGAAACTACACTTCATAATTGCGAAGAATATTTATATAATCTTGTTATAACTGTTTTAATGTTACAAATTACAATAAGCTAAACTTAATTGATAACTTAAATATTTTAAAAAATTTAGAAAAATGTTTAGTCCTGAATTTATTAATTAAGCATTAAATTTAATTTATAATTTTATACAATTACATATCCAAATGTCTAATATAAAATTAGAAGGAATTGTCAACATTCAATTTTATTTATAAATGGTGTCACAATTAATCCTTACGATATTTAATTGGATCTTGGGTCATTTGACCTATGGGTTATTTTATTTAAAAATATTAAAAATTGGACTTTTACACTCATTCAACTGAGAAACAAAAAAACTCAAAAAATTCATAAAGTACTTCTAAATATATACGTTATATTCCCTTCCTTGAGACAAATCAGACCCCGATTCCTTGAGAGTCCTGCGTGAACCTTGAGAGTTGGGAACTCTAGCTATGGCAGTACAGTCCTATGGAAGAGCACTGTTTACTCAATCGGCAACCTCTGGATCAACTCAAACCATTGCACACAATAATACAAACGTGAGACAAAAAGACACTTCGGATGATCTTCGGAGTGGACCCATCCAACATGCCTAAAACCCAAAAGGCCTAAACTTGAATAACTAACTGACCAATGGTCATTTGGCTTAATTTAGGCTAGGATAAGTAAAGTTAGGTCAAGATACGTCTAATCCACTTATCTATTTAAAAATAGATCCACTGGTCAATTAGTTATTTGTGTTTAAGCCTTTTGGTGTAGAACCTTTTCGGAGACCACCACTCAACTCAAATTTCACCAAATTGTGTTCACCGGTACCTCAGACTCGCAGTTATTGACAAATGCGAAGAACTCGTTAACTGATTGGATCTCGTTGTGGCCGATGTGTGTCATTACATCCATTTCACGCATTTCTGGTCTCATAATCATATTCACACAGAAATACATGGTTTAGTAAATTATGGTTTCATTTAATTGCCAATTATTCATTTTATTAGTACTGTATATTTTATAGAAAGCATTTATTTTAAAGACAATTGCCTTATAATGACGCCTCCATTCATAGCAACTTAAAGATAAGTCCAAGAGTAATCAGGTAATCGGTAACTCTGTGGGGAGTGTTAAGTTCATTATAAACGCTACCCATTTATTACGAAATGTGACTCGACAAACATAGTTATATTACTATATTCTCTGTGGGATGTGTTTTGTTCATTATGAACACTAGCCCTTTATTACGTGATGCGACTTTCAACAAAAAATATTTCTGTTTTATATTCTGAATTATTTTTTACTTTTGTCATTTGATTTAGTTATACCGGCATACACTAAATGTGGTAATTATTGATTTTATGTCAACAATAAGAGCGTGTATTATTTGTGGTGTCGATGATCACACTTTTAATATAAGGACTAAAAACTTTGAGAGAATCGGTACGGCTATTACGAGTTAATTATTCTGACAATGAATTAATTTAATGAAACATATATAAAGGGGAGAATTACGTAAAGAAAGGGAGCCGTATCTACACGTGTGAGGCCGACAGACAGTGGTTCGGCAGAAATCATCGCTTGAAAGTAAATACAATTAGTTTCTATTGTATATATGACTAGAAAATATATAACATACGTTCTCAGTTTGTATGGAATAAATCCGGTTAACATTAGTCTATTGGTATAACAGATATCGTGTCTTAAAAAAGGTAATTGTGGTCTAAGTGGGTGTCGAGCGTGTAAACTACACATATTTAAGCAAGCAGGATTAAGTGCGGTGAGTGAGTGCTGTTTAATTGAATTATTTATTACTCGGTGCTTATATTAAAAGGAATATCGGACAAAGGATTCGACTAGAGCGAATGAAGTAACGTCTAGTCAGTTGGAATTAAAATATATTGTGACTGACCAACCGGATCAACTGCCAGCAACGTCTGTGCCATTGATACAGAGATTTAATGATAGCATTAAAGGTGACCTGACACACCCGCGCATACCCAGTATCAAACAACTTGCTAACAGTAACCTTAACTTGAACACAAATTCAAAGGTTAATCGTAATGACAACTACTGTATGAACACGGCTTTCACTCTCAATCTAACCACATATAGGCGCCACACACTGAAGAACCGGTTAATAATGATTTTGATGATATACCTACTGATCGCTCGACACCAGAATCTACTTTTTCCGATTGTTTACCACAAGAACTGCGTATTGAAAATATGGGATTATTCGATCCATTAACCCCAAATGATGTTGAGTTGGCCTTCATTGAAGAGCCTGTTGGCCACGGGACAGATCGCATGAATACAAATGAAGCGTTCATTCAACAACAACCACAACAACGGTTTGTACACCGTGATTTGTCAAGCCAATGCTCTGACATTTCAGATAGTTTAATACCAGATCAGTATAATTCGATTTTCGATTTATTTTCGGATACAAATTGTGAAAAAAGAAATGAGCTGATACAATCTGAAGAGAAAGTTGGCCAAGGAATATGTGGTGAGAAAATATTGAGTCCTCGAAATATATCAGCTGAAACTGATCAGATTATTCGGAGCCGTGAATCACTCGATAGTGTTGGCAGTGACTATTACAAGGCAACCTGTAATTCTACAGAATTACAATCAAATTTTGTATATAATTTCCCGGCTCATGCTACCGGAAATATAATGGTTAGTAAGAAATACTACCAATTCCAAATTAAATTTTATATCAAATATCCAGGGTACAGCTACAGTCAGTCAAATGAAATCACCTTCTACCAGAGCCTCTACACTCATTGCTTATGCTACTAGTGATGATGCATTTGACATAATATTTGATGAATTTATGTCACAAAACAGTGTTGACGTATTGTGTCCCAATCAAGAATCAACTCAACATTCATTGCAATTGCAGACGTCTCATAATATGGAAAACAATTCTAATCAAATAGCACCTGTATCTCAAAAGTCTACAAAAAGAGTTATTTCAGGTAATCAAGACCGTGATCTAGATAATTCTGGAGAATCGGTTACCGGTTTAACCGAAATAGTTAAATCTTATGGAAACAGTTGTATAATTTGTTGATATTGTGTATATGACAAAAAATAAGCTCACATTCATTCAACTAATTACAGTTCAAAGAGAGAATCAATTTGAAAACTACACGTCCCAGCTCCAATCAACTCAAAATTATAATGGAGTTATGTCAAATAAAAGAGCACGTGTATCTCAGTCAGCAAATAATGTTACGCTCGCTGGGCTCAACGCAATTAAATATACAAGCGCTCAAGCAAACAAAACAGGTGCCAATGAAAAATTTATTAAATATTCAGTATATGACGGCTTCAATAGTTAGTCATTAACACTTTAATAGCATTTCTAACTTTTTACCCGTGAGTCCTAGAATAAATCTGAAAGGTTTATTAAAAAGAGCGCAAAAAACTAACCAAGATGAGTTAACATTCATGATAATAAAACATTTCGATAATTTACTTTTATTAATTTACTTTAAAGCATATTTTGTATTTAATTTGTATTATTACTTTAATTCAATTAGTAAATAGTTAAATATAACTAAATGTTAGTAGTAGTTAATGTTAAGTAATCTATTACTAGTTTTTTGTCCGATTTCTAATGCACTTTTCAGATTCTAGGCCCCACGCACTGTGATCAGATCCAAAGTATTTGACTTGACATTCAAGTATTTAGGGTGTTTGTCTAGTGACAAGGCATTGGGTAATTATAATGTCATGTATTTTATTTTACATAAATTATTAATGAAACTGTAAAATCGCGACAAAATAGCAAATTAATATGATTGATATTTTACTATTCTTATATTAATTATTAATTATTATGATAAGTAACCTAATAACAGGATGTTTTGAATTTTTGGTTAAGGTTATAATAATAAAGTATAGGAAATAACCTCTATTGTCCAGATTAATACTTGAAATTTATTTGACAAGTATTGGTCTTTAAAATAAAATATCAATTAATAATAAATTTTTAATTTAAAAATTGGCACTTAATTATAGAAAACTAAAACAATTTTAAAAGAAATATTTTTTCCAATTAGTTAAATTTTTAGGTTTAATTTCATGTTTAGTTTCTTAACTTACAACATACTTATTAACTTACTTGAGCATAATTTTAGATTATTGTCATATTAAATAGTATTAGAACTATTATTAAAGCATAGTTTAATTGAATTTTACAAAAAAAAACTTGTCAGGTATTTGTCAAGTATTTTTTGAAAAGTTTATTCAAGAATCCAAGTATTTTGGATTTTCGATCTGGTCACACTGGACCCACGATTACATTTGATAAAACTTTAGTTCAAATTGCATTTTAATTTGAAAGAAAATGGTATTGGAATATCTAAAATAGTAATAAAAATGACCAAGATACTGAGGTTTAAATATTATCAGAGATTATACAATATTATGAAAAATTAACAGAAATCCCTATTTATGTTCCATTACAAAATGTTACATTATTTTGAAATTAAATTACTCAGTTGTTTGGTAAATTTTTACAACAAATGGAATATGACCAGATTTTGACATACCCAGCTACATTTTGGTGAAAGCAGATTTAAGGTTCGATTAGCCGCTCAAATGTTATTAGTTTTCCCTACTAAAGATGAAACCGTCATATACTGTATATGCTATATATGTCATTAACTCAACTAATTACAGGGCAAATTAACAATTACATTTCGGAGCAATCATTCGCACCACAATCAGCGAATAATAGCAACCAAAAGGTGTGTGACTCCACTCAACTCATTGCGCAAAATATATTGAGTCAAAATGATAATATGATAGATGAAACTATCATTCAATTATCAAGAATAGTGCCACAAGAGTCATTCCCAATGTCAATTCTCACCGATAACACACCTTTCGCTAGTATTGGCCAATTAATAGTAGGTACTATATTAGAGTATTAAAATTATAAAACTTAAATTTATAAAATACTAGACATTGCCTGAAATGGAGAAGCAGACTTCTAAATTGGTGAATAAGGCAAAACCTCATATTAAGGCTTTATTAGGAAAGGATTCGCGCAATAATAAGGAATCCGGTGCAACAGTAATTGATACACAAATATTAAACCGATATATTCCGAGACACAAATCAACTCGCTGTCAGGCCATAGTCTTCGATCTTGATCGTATTGTTAATGGTTTTGACGTATTAGGCAACATATTTGAGAAGAAATTGGACTTCATTTATTTCCGGGACAACGATTCCAATCATAGAAAAATTATAACTTTGTTGAATGGCTTAAGCAAAGATACAGCGTTAAACGCGTTGGTCCTGAAGTTCAATGGCATGGTATTGGCGAGGCAGAGCGTTCGCGATGACAGCTCAACTGACAAAGTGTTGTACATCAAAGAGATCGTTGAATCACTTCCCGTTAAGTTGGAAAAGACAATCAAAATATTTATATTTGATATCTTTTCCAAAGGTAACTATTTATTTTAATGATACAGAGAAAAAATTACACTGGTAATTTTTATCTTAAATTTATTTTTTAGAGAGCGTGGACCAGATTAAAGAAATCATACTTCAATCACAGTCATTTGATAACCTAACCTATTATATTATAGCATGCTTTAAAAGTATAACTATTTATTCCATCATTAATTGTTCACATAAAATGTGAATTAATACGATTCAATTGAATTTATCCATAGCCAAAGAGTCGTGGCGTGATTTCTCAAAATTTATGACACGATTCGAGGAAGTATTCAGTAAAATTCTTGCAAAGCATGCCGTTAATCACCACCTCGGTCAAATATGTGAAAAGGTATAAACTACGATGTTAGTGTTTTACAATATAATTAAATTTGTTTCACTGTTTCCATTTAATATCAATATCAAATAGGTGTACCAAGAACTGAAAGCTTTGCTTGGTGCTAATGGCTGCCCAGATATTCACGTTTTTGGCATAGGCCAAACCAGCGAATTATATTTATGTCCCGTTTATTGAGAAAACTTGAATATATGAATATTAATCTTAATGCTAATTCTCTATATGTTGTATTGTTTTAAAACACTAGAGTATTTATAAATTTATATCAGGCATGAATATAAATATTTTAGTGTTAATTAAAATTTAATTTATTATAAACTTATTATATTCAATAATTTATTTTTTATTTTTTGAAAAATTTATTGATATCAGAATTATTAATAAATTTTATTAATTAATGACACAAATTATATAAAATATTTTAATTCATATAGTATGTAATAATAAAGAATATTCTCGATCTTTGCTTATGCATCAAACATAACCTCTCCCCAAATATTGCTGGCACACGTTTTCTAATATTTTGACTATTAATATTGTCGTGTTAATCGGGTATAGTGTGAGTCCCAGACCCACCCGTTTTGTGGTCATAAAGTTCATATGAGTATAATCTCCGGTTATCAGTCGTATTTGCTCTGTCCAAAAGGGAACGGTAGATGATATACTATAACAATAATGAAAATCATGTGTTTACAATTAAATAATACAACTATTTTATACCATTAATTGTAATACTGTACATGCCATCAAACACAATATGCTAATGAATAACAAATTCCTTATAAATACTAAATAACTCAATAAATGAATCCAGGGTAAATACTACATAATTAATTGTAGTATTGTACTGACAATAAGTTTATTAGAATTGAACACCAATTTTAAAAACTAGGACTGCTCTGCAAATAATTGCTATTGTTTTTCTATGTACAGTAGTATTTCTTTGTAATTATTGGCTAACAAGTTAATTAATTCTGTAATTATAAGCATAAGTGCTGATTATTGCTAATTATTTTGATGTTAATCATGAACTTCTGGACAAACATTTGCTTTTTCTCTGGTATTAACGGTTTGAATACATGAATAGCATTAGCGGTCAATACTAAAGAATCAAACAATAGTAAGAAGACATCTCAAAGTGGCGATGATTTCACACCATTTTAAGACCGATATGTGCTATTAGTACCAATTAGTACCAAGGTGGTGGTGTAGTTGCAATAATAGACGCCTTCCACCCATTGTGCCACCAATACGACAGGTAGGACCGGGAGGTTTTCCTAACACAAAGGTTTGTATATTTTGCAGGATCAAGTATCACTTATACCGCATTTGAGTGGACGTACTTTTTGGATACCCCACACCCCCCTGACACCTTCCATACCACCTAGACCCCATTTTGACCACCGGTTTTTTATTTATGAATTTTTAGTTTTAATTTTTTGGAATGTACCAACCCGGTACTACTTTATTTCCCATTGGATTTACATTATGGAAATTACGTAATATTTAGTTTTTATAAAATATTTCACAGTTTGCACCTTAGTATTTATTAATAGCATAGATCATAAGATAGAGTTTAGTCAATGGACGTGATCATGGGAACTACCGGTTTTCGATATAATCGATCTCGAAGTTACCATACGATTACATTACTAATTTAAGGAATTACTATTGAGTCCACAACTAATACAGACACGTCCGTTAAGAAATTCACTTCTTAATCTGAATCAGCTAATATTCCTCCCTCCATAGTCAAAGAAGATAATTCTATTTAATTCAACTCAATAAGATAATTTCTTAATCTACTGATTGAGCTGATTCCAA